AGAAAGAAAGAAAGAAGAAAGAAGAAAGAAAGAAAGAAAGAAAGAAAGAAAGAAAGAAAGAAAGAAAGAAAGAAAGAAAGAAAGAAAGAAAGAAAGCCAGGAAGATGGAAGAACCATTTGTCCTGCCCAAACCAGAGAGCATGGGCAGAGGGCAGGTTGCATCCCTCAGAATTTCCTGCCCTCTCTTGCCCTGTGCCTGCATTAACTCACCAGGCATCAGAGACAATGACACTGTATCTTCTTTGGAGAAAGGGAAGGCATCTCAGCCCTGACACCATTGACATGAGACCAGAAAATCTTTTAATTCTGGTAAAATATGTACAACATAAAACTTACCATTTTACGTGTACACTTCAGTGGCATTAAATACACTTCCACTGTTATACAACCACCACTACCATCTACCTCTAGAACTTTCCCATCTTTTAAACTGAAACTCTCTCCCCATTAAACACTTTATGTTCTCCCACTCTGACTGCTGGCACTTGCCATTGCACTCTCTGTCTCTATGAATTTGAATGCTCTAGCGACTTCACATCAGTACAAACATGTAATACTTTTGTGGTTGGCTTATTTCTCTTAACATAATATCCCCAAAGGTCCTGCATGTTGTAACCTGTGTCAAAATTTCCTTCCTTGATGTTCTTGGGAATTTGGTTCCGGGAGCTGCACACAGACAACAAATTCCCTACTATGGTGTAGCATTTGCATAGAATCTGTTCACAACTTTCTATACATTTTAAATAATTTCTAAATTACTTATAATACCTAGTACAGTATAAATACTATGCCAATATACTGTATAACTAGTCACAATACTGTCTAACCACAAAAAAGAAACAAATGCTCCTACAATGACAAGAAGAGGAATGATGCAACTGTGAACATGGGTGTACGAATATCCAAGTCACTGGGTGCAGGGTAAATCTTCATTAGAGGCCACTGCTGAATGTTTGACATCCTCCTACCTGTGCAAGCAGCACAGGAGAATTTTTCCAGTTACTGATAAATATCATCCTGGTTGAGAACTATGGGGCTAAACAATGGTTTTAGTTTCCATTTCAGAATCTTTTGCCTCCTAGTAACAATTTCACATTACTATCCAAAGGTGCCATTATATATGGGAGTTGAGTACATGGGTGCTGAGACAGGCACAGGGGTCCAAATCCCAATCCAGGGGAAGATTGCTCAGCTTCTCTGAGCCTCAGCATGCTCATATGTGAAATAGAGCATATGATGGAGACCACAGTATTCTCTTCTCAATACTCACAAAGGTAGACTCTAGGGAAAGTACTTGGGATGAGCCAAGCACAATCAGGCATCACATTAAGAGGATAGTAGTAATAGTGTTGAAAGGAGTCCAGCAGATGTGATGCTTCTAATAGGTTCTAGGGAGGTACCCTAGGAGTGATGGACCATGTAAGGATACCTGGTGACACAGAGTCATGTGGACACAGTGTCTGGTGTGGCTGTCTGGTGAGCTGCATACAAGGGTATGCCCAGACCTACGGACTTTAGAACAACTGCACATCTCAGGGTCCTCCAGGGTATCTATAGAGGAGCCCCAGGCTGCTGGCAGGTGGTGTGATATGGCCTGAGAATCACCCACAGTCACCGTGCCCCTGGCATGCCTGCTTGTTTTGGCTGAGGGGCTTTCTCACCCTTCCCTTTGCAGGTTGTAGGCTCTCAGGCAAGGATCCTGTACTCAGACCAGAAGGGCCGTGTGGCCATTGCTGTGGCCATTAACCAAGCCATCGCCAATGGACATATCAAGGTGAGATATCCTTTGTTCAAAGATGACTGATCTTAGACTCTTTCATATCATAAGGGCTAAGGATATAGCTCAGTGGCTCAAGCACCTGCCTGGAAAGTACAAGATCTGGAGTTTGATTCCCAGTAACAGATTTAAAAAAAAAAAAAATTACATATCAATATAGGACCTACCTTGGGATTTCTCACCTTTGTTTCTGGTCTGTACCCTCCATACCTTCCCAGTCTGTGGGGCATGGCCCCGTGATCTCACCTCGGTGGCCAGTTGTTCAAGAGCAATGGGTCAGCCCCTATCTGGAAGATCTTGACCCAAACCACCACTATTTTTAGGGAAACCCGATTTCAGTGAGGATCTTGGTCTCTGTAGATCAGACACACAGAGGAGCTCAAAGTTGAACTGTCCTGGAAAGCAGGCCTTGCTTGGGAGGTGAGGGTGTGAGGCAGTGGTGAGGGAGAAGGGAGAGGAAGGGTGTTCTCATAGGGCTCTCAGCTGGGAATGTGCATTATTGGGTGGGGAGGGAGTAAACTGGGAGCCAGAACAACCAGGCCAGTTCTCAAATTCAAGCCCTGACACTGCCCCTTGTGTACTCTTGGACAATTCCACAGCCTGCTCTGAGCCTCAGTTTCACTATTCTGTGAAAAAAAAAAAAAAAAAAAAAGAGTATCACATTAAGACTTCAGTATATGGATGTGAGGATTAAATGACTCCACTCCCATAAGCGTACTATCCCCGCCTCCGCTTTTTTTTTTTTTGAGATATCTTTTCCAAACCATGACTCCCCCAACTGTTATCTATTTTTCTCTCACCTCTGAGGAAGCAGAAATTGGCATATTTGCTTGGAGGAGCCTATTGCCCTTCTTTTTCTCTTTTGCCGAACAGTTCTTATTGGTGTCTCTGTTTCAATGTGCCAGGAGCATTCACTACCAGCTGTGAAGGTGGAATCGGGAGACATGTGAACACTGTTCCTGTGGATCGTTTGGGGCCTGTGTGTGTTTATAGGGGTGGCACTTCCTGGACTCCTGCTTTGTTTTCAAAGACTATTGGAAAAGCTCTTGGTGTAACCCAAAAATGAGACAACTGGGAAACAAGTCCAAAGAGAAAAGAGCGCTTTATTTTAGCTGGTACCCAGCGGCAACACCCGGCACAAAGTGCCTAAGTGCGTGCCAGGAGGGGAGAGACGAGGGTTTTTAAGGCTGAAAACCGCAAAGGGGAGGTCTTGTGACTTGAGCACAAGGGAATGCAGCACAGGGGTCAGCGTCCACTTTTGGGAAAACAGGTTACATTTTTTTAACATGCGGTTACAATTTTCAGGAACAAATAATTACAATTTATGATTCGGTGTTGATCACAGGACATATTGTGTGGAGTGCTCTTGGGTAAGAAATAGTTCAGATCTTCACCTTTAACACACTGTGGTTTAGAACAAAGGAATAGTTTGAACATTAACAAACTGTGTTCAGAGGTCTGATGGATGGCTTGAGCCACCAAGATGGAGTTTAAGTTGTCAGCTTATACCAAACAATCCTCATTAATAAAGTTACAGTGGAAATGTACAGAGGTGTATAATACAATGGCTATTCTGGTTACAAAATGGAGTCAATCACATAGGTTATAACAGAAACATACAGAATTGTATAATAAAATAGCTGTTCTAGTTACAAAAATGGAGATGGTTACATAGGTTATAACAGCTCTCACCTTCTGTCTTACTCTTCTCTCCTTGCTGGAACAAATACCTGACACTCAAAATAAAGAAAGGAAAGGTTTATTTAGCTCACAGTTACTGGAGGTTTCAGTCCATCCTCAGCTGGGTCCAAGGCAGAGCAGCACAGGGCAGAGAGCAACCTTTCCTGGTGGTGGCAAAGAGCAAGAGCTCAAGGGATGGGTAGCAGCAGCTCAAGCAGGTAGCTTCTCATCCCACCTTACATTGTAATGCAAACTACCTGCCCCAGGGCAGATGCAGCATCCACATCCACAACAATCAATCACAAACTCCTGTAGCTGCCCTAAGACTACATGAGGCTTTGGGGGGGGACACCTATACACAAACCATAACATTCCATCCCTGGACCCCCAAAGACTCATGCATATTCCTTTATGCAAAAGACAGTCTAGTCCATCTCTGAGTTGCCAAAGTCCCAACAGTTTCAGCATTGCTGGAAAGTCCAAGTCCCAAGTCTCCTCCAAGATCCAAGGCAAACTCTCAACTGTGAGCCCCTGTACAAATGAAAACTTAAACACTTGCAACATTCAAAGGCACAAGATAAACACTACCATTCCAAAAGGTACACACAGCAGGATACCAAGCATTGGGACCAACACAAGTCCAAAATCCACAGGGCAAGCATTAAGTCCTGCAGTTCCATGTGGGACCTCCAAGGCAATCTGTGATGAGCAGTGAGCTCCAAAGGCCTTATATGGCTCCGCCCCTATGGCACTTCTGCTGGTAGCTCCTATGGCTTCTCTCTTAGGCCAGCCTTGTGCCCTCTTTGCAGTTTCCCTTAGATGATCCACATTTCTGGCTTTTCCAAATTTCTGGAGTTTCCACTGAATAGGCTTCTCTCTCACAGCTTCACATACTGCCCTCTCAGGGGCACACAGCCTGGCCTCCCAGGCCTTCTGAAATCAAGGTGGAAGCCTTCTGAACCTCAGAACTCCTGCATTCTGCATGCGCCTAAAACGTTTGCCACATGGATTATGCTAAGGTCTGCTGCCAGCTGGAGCAGTTGCCAGGTTTTCCTCTCTCTTGGCTGTAGGGGTCAAGTGCCTGGATGGCTGAGCACTCTGACCCTGATTTGGAGGAATAATTTCTCCATGCCGGCACCATTCTGGAAAGCCACCATTCTGGAACCTGGGACTCTGTGGCTTTCCCCTCAAGGCAAAGTCCCTGACCTTTGCAGTTCTGAGGCTGCAAAGGGTGGAGACCTGCCTCCTCCTGTGATGCCCTCAGGCCATCCTTTCCACTCTCAGGTTCCTTCCAGGCAATGAAGTCCTCTCGGCTCCATCTTTATAGTCCACAGCTTTCTTGGTGCTTTCTTTCTGGCCAAGCACACATTTTAAATTCTCCTGCTGAGCTCCTTACTCTTGATTCTCAACATAAATCTGGCTAAAATCCCCCAGTAACAACCAGGCCACTGCCCCAATATTTGGCTGCTTTGAAATATCTTTTGCCAGATTGATCAGTCCACCATGCTTAAACTCAAGTCTCAGGCAAAGTCTCTGGACATGAGCAAAATGCAGACAACTTTTCTGCCAAGCCATAACAGACATTGTCCGGAGCCCAACAACAAATGCAGGCCTTCCCAGCAGACACCTCCCCAGCCTGGTCTTTACAGGCCCGCTTTCCATTAGCCTTCTGGTCTTCTGAGCTCTGACCAGAATCTCCCAACCAGAACAGCTGAAGATGTTCCAGTGCTTTGCTTGTAGGCAGACATCGCTGAACCTTTCCTATCTCTTCCCATAAGCCATTCCCAAAAGCTTGTAATGCACATTGTCAGGTATAACCACAGCAATGACCCCACTCCTCTGGTACCAAATTCTGTCTTAGTTACTCTTCTCTCATTGCTGGGACAAATACCTGACACTCAAAATAAAGAAAGAAAAGGTTTATTTAGCTCACAGTTACTGGAGGTTTCAGTCCATACTCATCTGGGTCCAATGCAGAGCAGCACATAGCAGAAAGCAACCTTTCCTGGTGGTGGCAAAGAGCAAGAGCACAAGGGAGGGGTAGCAGCAGCTCAAGCAGCTAGCTTCGCATCCCACCTTACATTGTAATGCAAACTACCTTCCCCGGGGCAGGTGCAGCATCCACACCCACAACAATCACAAACTCCTGTAGCTGCCCTAAGAATTCAAGAGGCTTTGGGGGAACACCTATACACAAACCATAACACCTTCCTAATATCCACAACAATCACAAACTCCTGTAGCTGGCCCACAGAGAGTGACTTATTTAACATGCATTCATTCACTCACTCACGCCATTCATTTATTCACTGAACAGCACTCAGTTGAGTGTCTCCTGTGTGTTGGCATTTTCTAAGCACCCAACACAGAGAGCATGATAGACACCATTCCAGTCCTATCCTATTTATTTTTTTTTTATTATGTGTGTGTGTGTGTGTGTGTGTGTGTGTGTGTGTGGCCAGCTCCGCCCACCAGGGGGTGGGGCTGGCTGGCATGAGGTGCTGGGGGATTGAACCGTGGTCCCTGTGCTTTGCTAAGCTTGTTCTAAGTAGGTGCTTTACACCACTGAGCCATCTCACCAGGCCCTCCTATCCTATTTAGACAAATGAAGGGAACTGACCTCACACAACTCTAGGTATACATTAAGAGAGACTCTCAGATGGTGTTTGATACTTTGAGAATGAAGGGGTGATAAGGACAGGATTTCTGAATTGTTGGCATTGAGTTAAGATCTAAATAGCCAGAGGTACTAGAACATCTAGGTGGAAATAGTTTCACCACAAAGGTAAAGATGATAAGTCTCTGTCCTCACAGGGACTGGCAGCTCAAAAAGGTTCCTAGCAATGATTTTGTCTAAGTAATCCAGGCATTTTACCTCCTTCCACCCTGCAGGCCCCAGTGGTTCTAAGCCGAGATCACCACGATGTAAGTGGCACTGACAGCCCCTTTAGAGAGACTTCCAACATATATGATGGCTCTGCCTTCTGCGCAGGTGAGAAAGACCAAAACAACACAAATTAACAAACAAAAAATGAATGTACTGAATACAGTGATGTATAACTATAGTCCCACTACTCAGGAGGCCGATGTATGAGGATCCCTTGAGCCCAAGAGTTTAAGGGAAGCCTAAGCAGCATATAGCAAGACCCATTTCAAACTTGAAAGAAGAAAGAGGGAGTAAGAAAGAAGGGAGAGAAGAAGAGGGAGGGGGAGAGGGAGATAGAGGAGAGAGGCAAGGAAAGAGGGAAGGAATGTTAGGTTTGGATTTTATTTAAAAGTTGATTTGTTCATTTGATCTCTTCACTGTGACAGATGTTCTGGTATTTGAGATACTTAGCCAGGATAAGGTAACTGACCTAAGACTGAAAGGGTTCTGGAATGTAGGACTTCCAGTTTTAAAAGTGAGCCAGTTTCAGGCAAACTGAGATCACGTGACACTCTCAACTCTGGTGTATGTCTGACCTTGCGACTTGCCAGGTGACTTTAAGGCCGTAGGAAAGAAGCTGATTCCTTGCTTTTCCAAATTCTAGAGCTAATTTTTTTGCATTTCTTTGCTCATGGCCCCTTTTCAATCTTCACAGCCCAGGACCAGGGAGGAAAAAAAAAAATGTGTTTAGGATTCTCCTTGATCTCTGTGAACATGCAGTTGGAATTTTGGAGAAAAGCTTCCAACAGAAAATGAACCCCTTACACCTGTGTCCCCAGGACCCCCACAGTGAGCTTGCACTTATCCTTTGTCAGATAATGTGTTGTAAGGCTGTACATCCCTCTGCAGGTGCCCATTCCCTCTGTATGACAGGTTACATGACTGTGCTGCTGTAACCAAACACAATGGGTCCATCCCTTGATGTGTGCAAAGCCAGTAAGCACAATGAGGAGAACAAAGAGTGAAGAAAGCTTTATTACTTGTAGCATGTAAGGAGAGCTCTGGGCATTATTCCCAAAGCAGTCTCTCCCCAAAGAACAGAAGCAAGCAGCTTTTATTGGGGGAAATAATATGCATATTCGTAAAGGAAAGACTTCTTGTTCCATAAAGATGGGCACATTTCTGAGCACTCCCAGTTGGAAATCATGCTTTTTCGTATATATTACATGTTCCAAAATAGTGGAAAACACCTTCTGGACAGAGAATCTAGTATTATAATGAATAATGTTTATTCTAGATCCCCTAAAAGAGTAAGTCAGATTGATAGCAATTTTGAGTAGTTCCTTGTGTGTTTTTCTAGAAGGTCTTACCTGAAGCAAATAACAACAATAAAAACAATTTGAGCAAACAGTAGCAGTTATTTAAAGGAGCAGCATCTGCTCTGCCACAGGCATAGGTGACACCCCTCAAAAGTACCTGCCTAGAACCTAACATGGTAGACTCAGTTCTCACAGAGAATAAGAATGTCATTCTTTTGAAGTCCCACCACTTCTCATTTGTAAAGGGAGAGTGATGCTCTGACTCCTTGTATCTTTGAAACTAACACCAGACCCACATCCCTTTTAATTCTTGTACTCTTTCTGCTTCTAGGTGCTTTATCTGGTCTTTAAGATAACCAAGTACAAATATAAGAAATAATAATAGGGAAAACTGGGCATCTGTCAATTTATCCTGCTTCAGCGTGGGGTCTTCACACACAAATTATTGCTGCTTCTAGAGTCTCTGCCCAATTACTGCCCTATCTCTCAGCCCAAGTAGTGGCCCAAGTCTAGCCTGGTCCTCAGGTCTGCTTCATACACAGAATGATGAGTGGTGATTTCTCTCTTTCTGCAGATATGGCTGTCCAGAACTTTGTGGGAGATGCCTGCCGAGGGGCCACCTGGGTTGCACTTCACAATGGAGGGGGTGTAGGCTGGTAAGAAGGCATCAGAGGCCAGGTTGCAGGCTGATGTGGAAGTCTTGGGGACAGGGAAGGATACCACTTTGAAGAGGAGCACAGCTTTACTAGCCAGCTCTGAGCTGAGCTCTGAGCCAGTTTTGGTTGGATCAAGTAATCCCCTTCCCTGAGAAGCCAAGTCCGTAGCTATAAAACTTCCTAGAGCATTCCAGAGGGCTGGCGTGGCCGCACACCTTATGAGGCTGCAATTCTGAGCTGCAGCCTAGTTAGGTGACTTTAATTAATGGAAAATGTGACTGGAATGCATATCCTTTCCAATACCTGAATTAGAGAAAACCACAACTCAGAAGAGCTGCCTGCTTCTTGGGTACCTAGCATTTTGGTGCTTGATTTACCTGTCAGTTGTATGGGGGAAAACATAGACTCTAAAAGAGGATGAGTGGCTTGGCAAAGCCCACAGATATGGAGAAGACAGAGTTTGAACCCAGCCTGTCTCCCTAGGATCTGTCTCCCTAGAATCCATCAAACTCCATACACAAGAACACAGGCTGACAAGATGCTGAAACCAATGCCCTCGGTCCTAGCTGTCCTTGATCACTCTTATGGAGAAGTACCATAAATTCATCTTGGGATCCATCAAACTCACACACATATATAATTTAACCTGTTAGATGCCTCTACAAGGCTTATTACAGAAACTGCAGGAAATCTGTCCCAGGGTCATTTCTACTCCAATAGGAAACCACCCTCAACTCTGCACCTGTAGTTTTTCTTTGTTTTACTTAAATCCATGTTTCTGTGTTTTAAGATTATCCTGAGTTTCTTGATTTACTTGGCTACTTTTGGACTATCTGTTGGCTACTTCTAGTAGCTTCTTTCCTTCTCAGGGCTGCCAACAACAGCCCTGAGTCAAATTTAGCTCCTTCCTTTGCCTCAGTCTCCTCTGAGACCCTCTGTTTGGTGGTTGCCTTTGTGCTGTGTGTCCAGTGGATAACTTCAGCATGAACATCAGCAGGCTGGCTGCAGCCCTGTGTGTTGAGACTGATTTTTCAATGGTGGTCTACAGGATGGGGCCATCCAACCAACCAAACCTGTTGTTTTTGTTTCTTGTTGGCAAAATGAATAGAATATTAGTAAATGTTTTGTGAACTAACAATTGTGAAGGGTAAATGAATCAATGACAATAGCTAACATATATGCAGTATTTAATATAAAAGAGGACCTATAATCAATTTGAGTATGTTACTTCATTTATTTGTTTTGTTATACCCAACATTTATTTTTATTTATGTTTGACACAAGAGTTTCCTCTTTTTTCTAGCTAGGAATTATATCCAAAGTCTCCTATACTACTTTTATGTTTTCCTCAATGGTATAGTTAGTTGAACCAACACCTCTTGTGAGTAACCCCAAATTCATCATTAATCGTGATGCTTTCCCACCTTCCTAAGTTCTGCATGTTCATGGTTATTCTGTGATCTGTTTGCTTAAGTCACCTGAGCTGAGTGTTGTCCTCTGAACCTCTGGGGTTCAGGCTCCTGAAGCAAAAGATATTATCCTAATCTCCAAAAATCCCTGAAGTGAAGGACACATCAACATGACTCCTGGACATTTTCTCTTATACCCAGCATCAGCCACTGATAGGAAAGTGATAATGACATGAAATCAATTATTCAGAGCATCTTTTACCTAGAGGCATAAGACTTCCCAGGTACAGGGGTCAGGGCAGAGTAAGAGCCTTGGGCAGTGGCAGCTGCCCACTCAAAGAAGGAGTTCAGCATCTAGGATGCCAAGGGGGCAATGCAGGAAACTTCTAGGGTCACAGCATACTCCAGCTTCCTGTAGAGAACTGATTGAAGCAAGCCAAAGTTTGTGCTGAGCATCTAAGACTGGACAGACATGAAGGATGAGAGATTAACAGAAAGAGATGGATATTTTATGTACAGGAAGGAGATAAAGCAGATCACTGCAAGTGAGGAATAGGACATATCTGCATACAAGCAAAGAAAAAGTTGGTAATATCAAGGGCATTTTCTGTGTGTATGACTGATAGCTGAGAAACCTGAGCAAGAACTGAGATCAGAACCAGCCAGGGAACCAGCATGCCATGGAAGCCCTTGGTAATGACCTTGAGAACAACATCAGGCTGAATATAGAGAATGTCACTCTATATTGATATAGAATATTTCCCTGCAAAACATGTAGAAAGTAGAAATGTGTTAACATACATAAGATTCAGATTATGTCTACTGAAAAACAAAGGAGGGGCCAGTGAGATAGCTCAGCGGTCTAAAGCGCCTGTGTAGGCAAGCTTAGCAGGCTCTGGGGACAGTGGTTTGATCCGCAGCACCACATGATGCCCCAGCCCCACCCCCAGGGTGGGCTGAGCCAAAAAATTTAATAATAGTAATAAGGAAAAACAAATGAAAAAAGCAGGGCAAAACCTTCTGGCAACAGTTAAATCCACGTTCAGAGAAAGACACTAATTGGAAAATGAGAAATACTGAAAATAAAGGAATTTGATCTTCAAATCAGGTAGTCAGGACTCCAAAGTACACCTGAATCAAGTAAAAAGAAGGGATAAGAAAGATAAACACCACAACAATAAAATCAGGAAAAATGACAGCTGAACTGAGTGACACAAGAGCTATCTCAAGGAAGTATGCCTTTACAGGACAGCTCTGAGAGGGGAAGAGAACATTACATCTTACCAGGTGGTCAGGCAGGCTTCAAGCAGTGACACAAAGTGGGTCCTAGCGGTGGGCACTGGGTCCACAGGCCGAGCTCAGAGGCACAGTTGGGCAGAGAGGCCTGGATGTGACCACTGCTCTTCCTAGCCCTTCTCTAGAGGAAGTTCCTGCATCCACTCATCTGCACGCTCCAGGATACAGAGGCCCATGTGATCCAGCACCCTGCCCCAACACTGACCCCTTCTCAAGCCAACCCTTTCAAAATGTGTCTCTACCTGCTCTATGTAGGTGAGGAGTACTGAGTGACATGGGAACACCCTTTCCTCTTGCAGGGGTGAGGTGATCAATGGTGGATTTGGCCTCTTGCTGGATGGATCCCCAGAGGCTGAGCACAAGGCCAGGATGATGCTCAGCTGGGATGTCTCCAATGGTGTAAGTCTTCCTCAGGCCTCTCCATCCTACTTTATGTCTTCTCCATGGCTCTGGGCTACAGTTCTTCCATTCTCCATGAAAGGCTATTCAGGAGCCCATTCTGCCCTGTGGGCATTTCTAAAACTTGCTCTTCACCAGAGGAACCCTTTGTCACTCTCAACTATCTCCAGAATCGCCCTGCCATGTACCTCACCCCTCCAGCTTCTGTCTATCCCGGTGGCCCTGAAAGTCCCAGTGCTTGTTCCCACAGAGTACACCCTCTTAGTACTAGTATTGAGAGACTTCACTTTCTTTGTTCTTATTGTTACTTGAGGTGGAACCCAGGGCTTTGCACACATGCTAAGCACTGCTGAACAGTGTCACTCACCTTACTTCAAAGCTCCACTTTCTTTGAAGGCAGATCAGAGAGTGGCAGATTCTTCAGCCCTTCCTGTGCAACTGTGACCCACTTTGCTGTAATGTAGCATTCTCCATGAGGCAGGGGGCAGGAGATAGGGGGCAGGGGGCAGGGAGTGGGGGCAGAATTCTCTGTAACTACATGATGCACAGTTGAGAAAAAGAGGAAACAGCTCAGATGGAGGTCAGAAATGATAGATAAGGGTACATAGGATGTGAGTGAAATGGGATGGAGACTCAGGGACCAAGGGCAAGAGTCTAGGCAGTGTGACACTGGGAGGCTGAGGGCCCCTGGAGTTGGGTCCAGAGGGCAAGTGTGAGGGTTCAGGACATCTGTCAGGGCCCATTCATCAGGAGGCACAGGGACTCCAGCAGGGAGTGAGAGCTGTGAGCATGGGGGACAGACCCTGCACTTTCATTCTAGGAAACCCCACTGGCAGCGGTGTGGAGATGGAGTTGGAGGAGGCATGGGGATGTGGGATGGGCTAGTTAACAAGAATAGTGGGGGAAAACAACAGTGAATGCTGGTTAGAGGTACTGATTGCTGGTGGGAATGTAAACCAGTGCAGCTGCAGCCAGCTCACCCTGCTGTAGGTCCTTCTTTAGGGGTGAAAAAGATTAAAGCTGGCAAACAACGAACAGCAGAAAATGACAGAGTGTATGCTTATTAGGAAAAATAAAAAGAAAAGCCACCCACTGCTGGGGAGGGGACTTCCAAAAGGCAGAACAACTGTAGATGCTTAAATCTAGAAGCTTTTATAGCATGTTTAGTACAGGTGAAAGCAGCAGAATGCAAGGATGCTTCTAGTTATTTCCAGGCCTTTGATTTCCAGAAAGTGGGCGGTCTTGTTTGCATCCCATTCCTCCAAGGCTCCTTCTGGCTTGTTTAGGAATTTGTCTTTTGTCCTTTGTGTTCCATTACTATCAGATTAATAATAGCCATAGTTATTGCAGGCTGATCAGGTCCACAATCTCCCAAATTGGACAGGGAGGCTTAAATAAGACAAATGGTATGATTTCAGGGTTCAGGAGGATCAAAAGCCCTCTCACAGAATTTGAGATTTTCTGGGGTTTTAGAAGAAGATCTTCTCTGGGTCCCATTAGATTTTCAAATAAAGGAGGGAGATGCTAAAGAAAATGCAGGCATCTGGGCAGAATTTGGGAATCTCTTCAAGGACTTCTCCAAGTGATACATATATTTATTGAGGAGAACTGTTATCTTCAGAAAGGCTTTCACTGCAAGAGTGAAAAGTCTGCAGCTACAGTCACCTTTTCATTCATTCTTTTTTTCTTTTTTCTTTTTCTTTTTTTTTTTTTTTTTTTTTTTTTTGTCCTTTTGAGACAGGGTCTCACTATGCAACTATGCAACACAGGCTGACCTTGAGCTCACATTGTAGCCCAGGCTGGTCTCAACTCCCAATGATCCTCTGGCCTCAACCTGGTGGTGCTGGGATTACAGAAATGCTCTACCAAGCTCTGCCTACAGTCTCCTTTTATTTAATTGGGGTTGAAGCCAAAAGTCCCCAGCTGTGGCCGTATGTTATCCTCTGAGGCATCCCAATTAAACAGGTCGATACAGGCCTCAGTAGGGACCAGTGATTCATAGAAGTTTAGTTCCTATGTGTCTGATGCCAGATAAGGGCCTAAAACTTGGACAAACTCATGAGTAAGCATGAAAAGCCAATTGGTTAATATTAAATCCTGCTCAGAACTGCTTCATAGTGGTCTCTATCACATTGGGTCCTGACAGTCAATTTAATTATTGAGTCCCTTTGCAGTCCACTCTTGTAAGCCCTGACCTTCAGTTTCTTTAGGTTAGCTATTCATGATCTGTGTCCAAACTTCTTTGTATCTCTGCAGAAATCAGCATGGAGATTCCACAAAAAACTAAAAAAAGGGCCAGGGAGATGGCTCAGAGGCATAAGTGCCTGCCTGGCAAGTGTAAGGTCCTGAGTTCAATCCCTGGTACCACAAAAAAAGAAAAAAGAAAAAAAAAAAAAAACCTAAAAATACAAATCTCATTTGACCCAGTTATATCTCTCCAAGGTATATTCCCCTAAATTAAAGGCACATCCTATATTGATACATCCCTCTGTTTATAGCAATGCAAATCACAAGAGTTAAGTTCTGGAATAGCTTAGATGCCTGTCAACAAATGAATGGATAAAGAAAATAGGGTGTATATACTTAGTGGATTATTATTCAATCATAAATAAGAATGAAAAAATCTCATTTACAGAAAAATGCATGGAATTTCAGACCATAGTGATAACAAAATAAGCCAGACTAAGAAAATTAAATAACATGCTTTCTTTTATAAGACAAATCTAAGGGGTTTTTTGTTTGTTTGTTTGTTTTTGTTTTTTTGTATTTTAGGGAAGTGTCTACAGGGTGCTCAGGGTCCCACTACTAGATCAGACTCATAGTGGTCTGCCTGTTTACAGCCTCCCAAGAGCTGGGATTACAGGCATGCACCCATGCCCAGTCTCAATTGCTGTCTCAGCGTGCCCAGGGTTGGGGGGGATGGCATGTCAGGTCAGGGAATCAAGCCCCTGCCCCTGCACCTGCTTGCAGGTGCTTTAATCCACTGAGCTATTTGGCGGAGCCCAAGACATCTAAGATATACATAAATGAATAAATAAATAAATTAAATGAGTAATGTTAGGAAACTAGAAACTAGACTCTTGGAAATAGAGAATGAGATTAAAGGAGGGGAGAACAAAGGAAGGGAGGGGTCAGGGGATTGAAAGTGAGCAAGCTATGGTACATACATGTATCAGTTTTCCAAAATGAATACTGCTATTCTGTGATGTAACTTTTAAAAATCAGTAGTATCAAGGATGGGGGAGGTACCATGCTCATGATTTAGGGGAGACCAAATAGAAAAGAAGTAGACTGGAGAAGGACTCTTAAACTGGAACTGAGGTGGACACATATTCTGAGGGCACAAAAGAAACACTGTGGATCACGCCTGGATTCCTAGCCAAATTCCTCTGAGTAAAGATGAGGCCATTCTTAGAGGTGGGGAATGTTGGGGCTGTTGTAATGATAGCTGGTTTCAGCTCAAGAAGACACTACATCAGGTTAGTCTACATTAGACAGACAGAGGTTTGCGCTGGAGAGGAGGATGAAGCCTATGAAAAGAGGCCGGCTCTACAGATGATATCTAAGACTTGCACAATAGAGGAAGACTGGCAGTTTGGGAGTCAAAACACCTTGCAGAGGGCCAGCCAGATAGCTCAGCAGACTAAAGCACCTGTTCAGGCAGGGTACAGTTGCCAGGGTTTGATCCCCAGCATGTGGTACCAGCCCCACCCTGGTCATGCACTGAGACAGCAATTAAGACTGGGCATGGTGGCACGTGCCTGTAATCCTAGCACTTAGGAGACTGAAAAATAGGAGAATCACTATGAGTCTATTCTGTGTAAGTGAGACCCTGTATTAAATACATAAAAAGAAAAAAAAAAACTTGCAGAGAACTCAGTGATGTTGACACCAATTGCTGCACATCCCATTTCCCTAGGTGGCCCGGCGCTGCTGGTCTGGGAACCCAAAGGCCTATGAGATCATCTGCCAGACGATGCAAGAGAACAGTGGCTTAGAAGTAACACTTCCCCACGATGTGAGAGATGAGCGCATGCTCCAGCAAGCTCTGCAACCCTGAGAAGAATCCAGTAGCCACCTGCAGTCCTCTGTCTCCTTTCTTCCCTTGGCTCTCCCCACCCTCCTCACCTCTACACAACTCCTATACTTCTGAGATATACACACAAGCCCTATGTGGCCCTCATGGCACTCTAGATGGGACCCATTTCATAGGCAAGGCCCAGAGAAGTGATACCACTTGTCTATGACCTACTGCTTGACGAGGTCCCCAGGAAGGGTAGTTTATGCCTTGCTCAGGGCCAAGTCCTCAGGCCTCCTATGGTGTGGACACTAACTGTGAGGCGACTGCCATGAATTGGCCAAGCTGGGCACTACCTGGTCTTTCCTAAGCCTCCCCAAGTTCTCTTTGGGTTTTACCACTTCACTCTACTTCCTGTCTACCTGTCCAGTGCTGTTCTTCTGTCTGCCCATTTATCTGGACCTTGGCACCCCAGGATTAGGGATAAAACGGAGGAGTTTATGGATGAAGATAAACAGGAAATAAAGGAAAGAATTAAAAATGCATGTCTCACCCCATCCTGGTGGGGTTGGGGTGGGCCGGTGGAGTGAGCAGTGTGGTGTGCCCCAGGGAAAGGGGTCCTTTGCTAGGGAAATAAAGGGAGAGGAGGGCACCCCCTTCTGACCAGCACAGTATGAACTGTCTGCAGGAGCCTGGGGTTTCCTACAGGAACCACTTTGGTCCTGTACTGGGGACGTAGCTGGGCCACCAGTCTCCTAAAATCAGTGTACAGCAAAGGCTTAAATAAAACAGACAATGTGGCTCTTTCTGCCATCTTTCCATGCCGCCATAATGGTGCACATGAATGTCCTGGCTGATGCTCTCAAGAGCATCAACAATGCCGAAAAGAGAGGCAAACACCAGGTTCTCATTAGGCCGTGCTCCAAAGTCATTGTCCCGTTTCTAACTGTGATGATGAAGCATGGTTATATTGGCGAATTTGAAATCATTGATGATCACAGGGCTGGAAAAATTGTTGTCAACCTTATAGGCAGGTTAAACAAGTGTGGTGTGATTAGCCCCAGGTTTGATGTACAGCTGAAAGACCTGGAAAAATCGCAGAATAACCTGCTCCCATCTCGTCAGTTTGGTTTCATTGTATTGACGACCTCAGCTGGCATCATGGATTATGAAGAAGCGCAACGAAAACACACAGGAGGAAAAATCCTGGGATTCTTCTTCTAAGGATGTAAAACATACAAATAAAATGCCTCAGCAGAAAAAAAAAAAGACAGTGTTACATGGTTTTGGGAGTCCATAAAGGCCAGAATTCTCTTGGAGCTGAGACAAAGACTTCTCTGGATTTCCTGCATTTATTGGCTCATATTCATTGGATTTCAAACAAGTTCAGGGATTGTGAGGGCAAGTGAAGGGAAAGGCTAGAGCAAAGGTGCAAAACTCAGCAAAGCCTTGAGAAGTTAGAACAAAGACTCTTCCAGTAATAAATTTTGCCCTTTAAAAAAAACTGTCTTATCTCTAAGGTTAACAGTTACTGCCCTCTCATTGGAGTGAGACAAATGCTCATGGTTTGGGCCTTATATTAAGAATTAGAGTGAGAGCCAAATGTCCAGGGCTTCAGCCTTACTTTACCCTCAGAGGTGTCACAGTGTCATGGACAAACACAGGCTGCTACTGTGATCATTGGCATGGAGAGTTACTGCACACTGGCTGCCATTTCTTTGGGCAAGCCTAGCCCTGGGACAAGACTCATAAGTAAATATATAAAATTAACTGATTAATTCTAAATCTGCTGGCAGCCACTTCATAGTGGTCGGGCTCCAGCAGTCCCTGGTCTGCAGCACTGCGATAGCCGGAACCAGAGCCTTCACCTCCCTGGAGAACAGGTAGAAGGTAAAGACCCAGGCAAAAAGGATTGTGTAGCCACACTTGCAGACCTTCGTTTTGAAGATGGCACCTAGTTAGCATCTCTTACCCTCAGGACCTCTTCTGCCTCCCTGACTCTTGTGTTATGCTCCTTTACTCAGGCTCACCCTCCCCTTGAGGAAGTACAGGCTGATCCTGGATTTAGGAGGAAAGCACAAGGTTAGTGGGTAAGGAGAGAGTAGGGAGAAAGATCCCCAGGGAGAGATCCCCAGAGAGAAAGATCTCCAGCTCCAGAAGTGGCCAGGCTGGAATGGGTATATTCCCTGTGTTCTCACAATGACTGGCATCCAGGTTAAACCCTGTATCTTTTCCATAGCAATTACCTTTGGGGAAAGGCATTGGAGGTCCACCAGCACTGCTAATGCAGGACACACCAGGCATGGTTTCATCCCCTCATGGGACTAGGCCTGAGAGATGAGGATAGTGTTACTTTGTCCTTGTCCTGAGCAGCTAATGACTCAAGCTCCTCTCCTTTGCAACTAATTATGCTTTATCAATGAGATATCAACCCTCAAAGTTTTAGTTCAACTGCCACTAGTGGAGAAAAATTACAGAAAATATATTAAGCAGCTTTGCATTGGCATAATAAACTATCTGAGTAAATTAACTTTTTTTTAGTTTCTTTTTTAAAGTTAATTTTATTGAGAAACAAATAGAAATGAGACAGTTTCAAAACTGATTAATAGGACAGTTTCAATAATCAATACATTGCATATTATTGTCTTCATAGTGGTTATTCATAGTACAAGATGCAGACATGATATCCTGTCCAAACACTATTAGTACAAATCTTTCTTCTCATTGAATTAAGAGAAAGTAGCTGTATATCTATCCTAACTATTTTGTATATACAGGTACAAAATGGTCCTTCATTTGTATCCCCTTTTTTTGTTTAGTTTTGTCAGAGATGGGTATTCTCTTGCCATTTAAATATTGTAGGTGAGTGAATTCAGTAAAACAATCCTATATAGTCCAGTAGTCCATAATAGTTGTGGGTTATCCGAGGAACTGGCAATGGCAGAAGTTGTTGAGTCAATTACATTGAAAAGAGAAAAAATACATTTTGGCTCACAGTTTTGGATGTCCCAATCCAGTGTCAGGTAGTGCTATATAGCTCTGGGCCTCTGGCAATGGTGGTGGGAGGAATGGCAGGGAGTATCTAGCAGAGCAAACTGCCTACATCATGATTCAGTAAACAAAGAGAGAAAAGAAGGCCCACTGTCCCACCATTACCCCACTCCATTTGACTTCTGTGTTATAAATGAAGCTGGTCTTGCTTAGCCTCCTGCAGTGGCCTCCTACCCAGCCTCCCTTCCTCCATTTTTATCCCAATTCTATTTGGGAGACTCTATTCTCAGGAAGATCATTGCAAAATACAATAACAGCATGTAACATGTTGGCCTACAAACCCACAATGGTTTCCTTGCTGGATCCCAGGGCCTGTGAGGACCCGGATATGGTGGGGTTCTTTGCAGACTGTGAAGGCCAGCCAGGTGATGGGGAAGACCTAAAACAGGAGGTCCACAAGGAGGCACAGAGGAGAGCAGGTCACACAAGACAAGCAAAACACCTTCCAAATCTCCGTGACACTAGCTCTACTTTCTGAAAAATATTCTACAAAAAATATGCCATTCTTGAAAAAGGAATAAAAAATAGAAGAGGATAATATCCATGTTGTTATCAACTGTTTGCAATAAAACTTTTTAGTTTTACTGTGGCAAGGTACATATAACATAAAATGTAACACTGTAAAGATTTTTCAGTGCCCAGTTAAGTGGCATCAACTATATTCACCTTGTGGTGTAATCATCACCTCCAGTCATTTCCCAAACTTCACTCTCTCCCAAAGCTGAAAGTCTGTCCTCATTAAGCACTAAACTATCCACCCCTCACCCCCAGCCTCTGACAACAAATTCTTCCCGACTCTATAAATCTGATTAATCAAGGGATCAAGCAGTGTTTACCTTTTTGTGTTTGGCTTTTTTTATTTCCACTTAGTAAAATGTCCTCAAACTTCACTTATGTAGTAGCATATGCCAGAATTTTTTTATTTTTTAAACGCTGGATAATATTCTGCTGTATAGGGCCAGGCAAATAGCTCAGCAGATTAAAGCACCTGCAAGCAGGCGCAGGGGCTTGGGGTTTGATCCCTGGGCCTGCCAGTGCCGGCCCCACCCCTGGGGCATGCTGAGACAGCAATTGAGACTGAATGTGGTGGCACGTGCCTGTAATCCCAGCTTTTGGGAGGCTATAAACAGATGGATCACTATGAGTTTGATCTAGTAGTGAGACCCTGAAC